CCCCAAAACCCCAAAACCCCAAAACCCCATGGTAATATAATTTGAGTCTGAGTTCAAATTAGTAATTTTTAATCTAAATTTTAGCTAAAAAAATTTTATACTGAGAACAATCTGATGGCTCATTAACGATTTCAAAATGCAGGACTTCAGGATGCAGTCTCATTCTAATAAAACTAATTGATGAATCTAACAGCTGCATCTACATTTGACTAGAATATTAGAGAGGATCAAGATATAGATCTACTCTTTGAAGCAGATGATATCCCTATGAAGGATGAGTCATGTGCTAATCCAAACTCAGTCAATCAACAATTCATTGAAGAGCATGAGAAGAGTCTGAATGGTATATATCAATACAATATTGATACAAAAATTGAATGCAATGGTCTGGAATCAGATTATTTTTACCTTGAGTCTGACTTCATAAGCATGGTGGAGCAGAGTAACAATGAATTCATAATGCCAATTCAAACCATTTAAGTAGAATACTACACTGAGGAACTTCTGCAGAATCTAAAGAAAATCTTAGAAGCAGACTAGAAAGTTCTCTAGCTCATGAACCAGAGAGACAAGGAGAACCAACTCAATTAGAAGAGACCTAATATTGCCAGGAAAACAGCCAGAGCTGAAACATCTGTCATTCAAGGCGAGGTTACCACAACAGCTATCATTATCAATAATGGCAAGGAATCTGAGCTGGTTTACCGAGGAGGAGTGTTGGTGCCTTAAGAGAACCCAAGACTTGCATTAGCAGCCAGGACTAATGAAAGACTAATCAGATTCGGATTGGTTAATCCTAGAATCAATGACGTATACCAACTAAAAAAGGTGCTATTAAATGAAGAAGATATCAAGAGAAGTCCATGGCTGCAGAGGTCAAGAGAGATTCTATCAGAAGAAGAAATTCATTTTGAGATGGAAATCATTTAAAGTATGAAAGATTGCGTTAATGATCTTAATCCTTCAAATTCTGGAGTAATAATATTTGATTGATTATTTGAGATGCTATTAAGTTTTTAGCTGTTGGTCTATCTATAAATTATTGTTGATTTATTATAAAATATAAAAAATTTTAAGAAGAGAATGGATTCTGCTGAAAATGATTTTAAGTATATGACAGACTAAGACTATCTAGCATAGAAAAAAGAGATGAATTTGATTATGCCAAATTTATATCTGTCAGGAATAGAACCTACATTTTAGCTTCACTATTTACAAAAGGAGAATATAAAAAGCATACTTACTGTTGCAAACTTAATAGAACCGATGTTTCCAGATGATTTTGAATACAAAATAATTGATATTGATGATAATGCCTCTTGCAATCTCCTCCAACACTTTGATGAGTGTATTGATTTTATTGATACTCGTATTGCTGAAGGTAAAAACGTGCTAGTCCACTGTGCTGTTGGAGTTTCAAGATCAGCCTCAGTTGTTATTGCATATGTGATGAAAAAGAAAGGATTAACTAGAGATGAGGCAATGGCCTTTGTAAGAAAGAGTCGCCCTGCTATTTACCCCAATTCAGGATTTAGAGAGTAACTACTCAAATTCTAGGAGGCACTAAAAACTTCAAGATAGTGATTAAAAAAGATTTCAATACAATTGTGAGATATTAATTACCTTAAAGAATAGTCGCTATGTTGATCTAGAAATTACATTTATCATTTTTTCATTCAATAGAAAATTCATCTAATGGGGTTTTGGGGTTTTGGGG